ACTGGTGGGCATCGGTGAGTTGGTTCGGTAGGGAGGTGTCTCCCGGTCCTCCAACCAGAAGAAGCGAGACGACGACGACGAAGGAGACCTTTGGCGGTTACACACCGCGTCCTACCGTCTTCTGGTGTGCCTACCTATTCGGGCTACCAGCGAACCGAGCGGGCAAACGGAGCTTCAGTCGACGCCGCGCACCCAAACGGTCCAGACCTGTCAGCCCGGAAGACAGCATCCCGACACACGTTCAATAGAGAATCGAATAGAGAATCGACTTCTCGAACCAGTTTCAAGGATTCTCTTTCTTTCTCTCTCGCTCCTGTACGCGGATAGAAACGCACCGTATCGCTGGCCAGTTTCCACAATTCCACGGAACGTTTATTTCACCAGAAGTCCGTCAAGCACTGCGCAGAGGGAACTAAGGAGCGAGCGTGTGCTCACTGCTTCGACCGGTAAGTCACACTTTCCTCATTTTTTCTTTCCTATAGTCTCCTCTTCTTTGCGATAGTTTGCTCTTGTATGACACGGTGATGATGTTCAGATGACACCGTTGCATCGAGATTATTCGTGTCATTTGTTCCAATAGACAGGTACTAGTTGTACCTCGGTAACATTTCCAATCGATTACTATCGATTCCAGAGATCGGATATCGAATCGTTGAATTAGGGGTTTCGATCGGTTTTATCTAGTTCGAGAATCGCGTTTCGTCGGTCAGGCCCAAGTCCCATCTCGCGCTTCATTGTGCTTCGAATCGCGCGGGCGGGAAAAGGTGTGGTCCACATTCGTTGATGTCTCTCGAGTCTTCGTGGTGACTGGTCCAAAACCGGTAGCGTGCCACAGGGCGGTACACGGTAGCTGGTTCATTTTGATTGGCTACCAGGCTACACTGTACCCGAATCTTTTATTCGTCGAACGCTCTCAAACCAGCACCGTCGTTTTCGACATTTTGTTTCGAGTTCGGGGACCCTGATTCTACTCCACACCTACTATCTCAAATTGATACCTCGAATCGAAATCTTCCACCTCGTGTAATTTATATAAATAAATGATACAAATAAAGGGATCGATATCATTATCCAAAGACATTTCTCATTGCAATTGACACATTATTGAGTGAGATTTGGAGCAGATTTGTGCATTGCACTGGTAGATTCAAGAATAGAACGAAAAATTCTAAATTTTTGACTAAATTCCTATCTTTTGTCTCTGATACCAGGTCTTCGAGTAATTATTCCTCCACTATTCGTAGATGCAAGTGCATTTCACCTAACAATAGTCAGAATCTCGCTATTCTAGAATCTTGAGACTTCCAGTCACTAAGTTACCAACCTCTTCTAGATAAAAACTTCGGGAAACTGTTAGAAATGCTTCGATGTCGAGGTTCTTCACCCTTTCGATAATTTTCTTCGCCCCTTGGAGCAAGATCCCGGTATCCGAAAAGTTTCACCATGAGCGCCTCCATGTCTCCCTTCTCATTGGGTGGCAGAGAGGAATCGTAATAGGAAGTCGCCCTTCCCAGACAGACAGACCCTTCCACTTTTCGCCCGCGTACTCTCCAGTACCAGGGCACCACGTCGATCCAGAGGAGGAGGGTGTGGTTCCGCTTGGTGGATTTCTGTGGAGGTTCAGTAGCGACTGGCCGAAAACCGGTAGTCAGCGGTAGGGCGGTGCACAGTAGCAGCTCCTCTTTGGTTGGCTACCGGCGAACGAACGAAGGCTACTGCTCCCTTCTTTATTCCTCCATACATACGAGAACGGGTGCACGCACGTCGAGCGAGCTTCTTGGTTGGCTCCACTCCGTCCTCCTTTGATTGGCTGCCTCTTCATCCGTGCCCTCCGTCCTTTTGCTCGCGAGGGACCGAGCGTAAACGCGGGGGCCTCTTGTCTTCGCTGACTGTCGCAGGAATCCCTGTCCGCCGTGAAAGAGCGCGTCTGTCGGAGGGAAGGGCCCGCTGAGTCGGCGAACGGCCCAGTGGCTCGGTACCTCGGCGCCCGGAGTGTTTGGGGTAAATCCTTTGACAGAGGATCGAGTCGAGTGGAAGGTACAGGTCTTCGAGACTCTGTACTGTTCCGAACGTGATCAACTGGTAGATTCTTCCGTCCAACTCACCGAGGTGTCGCAAGCTGGTGTCAATTTGGTACTCTGAGCGAAGTGAGATTCTGAGGCAGGTAATGAAGCAGAGAATCGTCCTAGTGACTATTTAGGTGTTAGAAGGATTAGACAAGTTGGCAGATTACTGTCATCGTTCTAGGATTGAAATAGGATGAGCAGAATTTGAAGATCTAGGAAGAGTTTAGCATTCTAGGGTATTTGACACGAAAAAGAATCTTCTTTGATAGCAATCTCATAGTCAGTGATCGAAAGATCGCCAGTAATCGAAGGTAGGTTCATTGTATCTAAAGAAATCACTATTTCCAAGTCCCATGATCGTTTCTGAATAACATCTACTCGATAAAGTAGAGTTTTACCTCTCCAAGTATTTGACATCGTAATCGTCTCCTCCTCGAATTTCGAGTCACGCTGCCAATTTCAGCTCGCGATTAGTATTCGCCATAGTTTCCATAGCCCTGGTCGAAAATTTGTTCGACTGCTCCTAGTTAATCCTGGTGCCTTTGGGTCCGTGGCTACCTAGGAAGCGTAATTTTTCCAGCAAAAGCAGCCGCGTAACCATGCGAATCACGGCGCCTGTTTCCAACAGCGTACCGAAACGATAACTTTCGGCTGATGACATGTACACGGGCCTTTACTTTCGTCGGACGTGCCCGTGTTCACGAGTGAAACACGCGTTAGCATCGCTGTTCTTAGAACGCGACAGCCTGATCGAATTGCAGCACGCGTGTCTAACAGGATTAAGAAATCTCGGTTGCCCGGCTTAACGCTATAATTGTATTCACCTCACAGGCCCCTAAACAACTCCATTATTCCTTACGATGAATCGAAATCGTATTTTACGATGACAGTGGCGTGACCGCGAGCAGGACCAGCTATAAAAGCGATACACCCCAACGTCCTGCCAACGCTCGATGCTCCCAGTTTAGGCAGACATTCTGGAAAAGTAGCTTCAGGTGACGTTTAAGATCAGTTGCGACTAGAATAGATGAGGTTTCGAGTATTCCTTTGTTATCCTGCCAAGGTGATCGAAGATCGCCTTTCGATAACGCGAAATTCAGCTTCATATGGCTTCGCAATTTGCGTGGGTATACTCATTCGCAAATCCCTCAGACGTACTACGCGACCATAACCGCGAGCTTCCATATACATCGCATTATCATACATTATCATACATTAGCTTTGACCTCTTGATCGCGATAGACACATAGACGAACTTGGCAGGTAGAGCTTCGACGTAATGCTTAACGAGTGTTCACGTCAAAATTGATTCAAAGAATCTTGACAGATTTCGGATCACGACTTCTGAAAATTTAGGACCTTCTGCTCTCTGGCACGAATTAGAGAATCGAAACTGATCATCGTAGAAGTATCTCGTAGAATTCGGTTGGCTGGTGAATAAGTCGGTGAATGAGATAGAACAGGTCTAGAACTTATCAGGTACATCTCCATTTCATCGAAAGCCAGAGATGAATAAGCACGGTAAAATATACACGAAAATCTATCTTCCATCTCAAAGATCGACTAAAAGACGAGTAACCTGTCTCGTAAACTGCTGCTTAATCGAAGAAGTCGAACGACCCTTTCTAAAATGGTCACGTCCACACTCCCACGTAATTAGGTAACCAGTCTGAGATTAGACCATCGATGACGTCCGACCGAGGCATAACTCCTCTTATCCCGTTGAATCTGTTCATAAATCTCTATGAAAACTCTCTAATCCCACACTCCAAGTACGATTCCAACCGATCGGAGCAATCGAATGAAACCCAACTCGCGAATCCTCAGACCACACGGTCTAAACAGTGCCAACGGATCGGGGATCAAGCGAGATTTCGTGCCGACAAATGGAGTTGCTCCGTATCACGAATCCACGAATCACCGTGAGTTCTGGTGGCGCTTGGGCCGAAAGGTGGCGAGGAGGAGGAAAGCAAAAAGCTGGTAGAGCAGACTCGTGCGTAACACGCAGCTCCGATTAGGCCCCACCGCCGTTAGGCAACCTAACCAACCGGGATACGCCCAGCCACGCTTATTACTCATTCGGACACGCCACTTTATTCGAGCGTGCGCCGTGTGCTTACCTTGTGCTACCAGTAGCACCGGACGTGGCTCCTGCACAATGGCCGCGGCAGACCGCGCGATCAGACCCCGGGGGCCTTTTTTATTGCTGCCTCTCCACTCCGCGGGACCCCTCTTTTCGACGACTCGCCGAGCAATAAGCTTCCTTCGGCGTTGCGTTCGTTTCCAACGTCGTTACTTCCTATCGTACCCCCCAGTTTCGCCCTGCGGAGGATCGATGTTGGGGGGCCGGGGCCCGGCGGAGACTCTTGGCGCTCTGCCGACAAATTCACCGTCTTTGGCAGTCTCTGCGCCATCTGTGTACCATCTGTCGCGCTTGAAGCGTCTCTAATTGCATCGTCCAGGTACTCTGGACGAAACAAACCCTCTCCATCAAATCGATCTCGATACTCAACCCCCTGTCAACGGGTCTCCGATCATTCCCAAAGATGGCAGAGCGATCTCGCGACCAGACTCGAAGCTCGGTTGACGCGAGCCCTAAATATAGTCGCCTCCTCTCCGAATCCCAAGATCTATGGATCGCAACCTGGGCAAACACCCTGCAAGTCCCGTCGTGCTATCCAAGAAACCCTGGGCGAAGGTGGGAATCGGGGGGATGGAGAAAACGACAAGCCCGAGGTTGATCCACGGCTCGGGGTAATCGTTGCCAGGCAGCGCGGATCGAGGCGGTCGCGTCTCCGGGAATCGATCCGAAAATCATTGCTCCTTTATTTCCCGCAGGTAGAGAGAGGCGCCAGAAAGAGGGAAAGTTTTTTTGAAAGAGAGAGAGAGAGAGAAAGAGAGAAAGAAAGAGAGAGAGAGACAGAGCGAGCGTGTTCCCGCGAGGAGGTACAGGCCGAGTGATCTCACTCGCAGGAGTTAGCCGGTCGGGACTAGGTTTGCGCGGGAGGAGAAGAGCGACACGAGAGAGCATCGAGAGAGGGACCAAGGAGGAAGCTCGTGAAAGAGAGAAAACGGCCCCTTGTCGGACAAGAGGGACAGAGACGCCTTATAGGCTGAACCGGTGGAGGGAGTGACTCGAGGCGTTAGCAGGACCGCGAGAGAGGAGGTAGAGGGAAAGGAGACAGAGAGTCGACCAAGAGAAGGAGCGGTGGGAATTTATAAGGATGTTCGCGATAATGCCGATGGAGACAGAGGGGCACGGCAGGGAGTTCGGCCGCCGGCAGAAGATGCGCGCCAAGTGCACGGTAGAGTTCGTCTGCAAGTACTGCCAGCGGCGCTTCACGAAGCCCTACAACCTCATGATCCACGAGCGCAGCCATAAGGACGACGTGACCTTCACCTGTGAGGTCTGCGGAAAGTCCTTCAAGCGGCAGGACAACCTCAAGCAGCACAGGTACATTTTGTCCGGAATATTCTTTCGAATACGTATATATGTATACACGTGTGCATGCGTGTACGTGTGTCATGCATGTGCATACACACACGCATGTGTATACATAGATGCGTATATAGAGATACATATATACATATACGGACATTTTTTTGTTCGAGCCTGTTCTAATTCGCCGCTCGGCGACGGGACTGGTTCCGAGCTCGATTTTCGCGCGGACCAGACATCGATCAGACCTGGCATCGCTTTTTTCTACTCTGTGCCGGGTTAACAGTGCAGTTCCCTCCGTTACGCTTCCTTCTCTCCCTCCACCCTCTCTTTTTCCCTATTTTTTCTTCTTTTTCTTTCTTCTCTCTGTTCCGTTCCCCATTTTCTACACCCCGTGGACCGCCGGTGCCCACAGCCGACCCCCAGTGATGGTTATGAATGAATTAGTGCGAGCCCGAAAAGGTCGTGCTCTGTGCCGGTGACTGACAGGCGAGTAGAGAGCCTGTGGCCATTTCGCCGAGAGATTATGGTGAAGTTCGACCATTTGTGATCCCGGTGTATGAGCATCTCTCGTTCACGTACGTCGTCGATGTCTGGTGCCGGTTGCGTGTTCAGTTTTGGAGCTGGTCCCGTATGTCGCTCGTTACGACTCGTTCGAAGATTGACAGCAGCTGAATAGACGTGTCTGTGCCCGGTTCGTGTTCCGTCGCGACTCTTCCACGGCGTGTTGTGCGGGCATCGTAAAGTTCCAACAGTGGTAGATCCATGTCCCTCGCGTCCACCAGCTTTCGTTTATCGGTATTATTCGAGGCTTCCAGGGGACCCGTGACAGAGAACGGAGAAATTTTTGTGCTCGAGAACATCGGGACGCGACGTTTCCGTCAAAGCGGCGCCGCTTAGGCTTTGACAGCTCCAAGCTGGTGTACAGGCCGCGGTCTTTTTGTGAAAATGTGACGCTCAGACCAGCTACTTTTCGTGTTTTCTCGGGACACAGCACCGGATTTCGTAGCTTTTTACGATCAAGTGACATGTGACGAGTAAACTGACACGTTTCAGGGGTTTTCTACGTTTAAGAATCGCGCAGACGAACGAGATGCATGTTTTCCGTAATTTTTAAGCTTCGTCTGGTTTGCAGTCTCGAATTTGCCAATTTCGTGGGTTCAGGTGGTTCAGTGTTGAAAGTAGAGGAATGACAGAAGGGAATTTCGTGGCGAATTTATCGAATGCTAGTTTCAAATTTAATCGAGAAATTTAATTTTAAGAGAAATGGAATCAGCGATGTTTAATTTGGGTAATAATTTAATCACTGATTTCATTTTCCTTCGAGTCAGGAGACCGATGTTCAGATTTGAGGTGTGTTAATGAATTTATGCAGTATAGATATTGCTTTAAAATGTCATTATTTTAATTGATTTGTTTGAAAGCAGAAGAAGTAAAGATCCCTTTCTCTGATATTAGAAATTCGTGGCTTTTGCGATTATATTACAGTAATTTCAACATCAAAGTAGAAGAATAATGGATCCATTAAATAGAATTTCTACCTTTCTTATATTCATAATTGCTGAATTTAATTTCCTTGAAAACAAAATTAAAAATCCACGAATATTTCGACGAATTTCTCAAATATCTTTACTTAAAATCTGAGATTTGTCGTTTTAAAAATTTCCATAATTATATAGTTACAGCAGAGCAATAACTAAAATTCGAAATTCGACAATGAACCCACTAAACATCTTTTCTTTAAAAAATCAAAGATTCGTCTGCATTTTTACACTTTGACAATGCACTTTTAATTGCTGAATCTAATTTCTTTCAAGACAAAATCAAAAACCCGATACGTCATTTTCATGAATTTAATAATTCTAATGCTGAAGCAGAAAAATAGCAGAAAATGTAAATTCGCCGATGAACTTCTTAAATATTTTTACTTAAAATCTGAAATTCGTCATTTTTCAAATTTCAATAATCATATAGCTACAGCAGAGCAATAACTAAAATTCGAAATTCGACAATGAATCCACCAAACATTTTTTCTTCGTAAAATCAGAGATTCGTCTGCATTTTTACACTTTGACACTGCACATTGTCAATTAAAGCAAAAAATACAGAAAATCCGAATATTTTTCGAAAATTCAATTCTTCTTATCTCGTTCAGTCGTTCCGAGGCATAAAAGCCGAAATCAAGCGAGCATGATCGTCGTCAGCTTTCAAACGAGACACGAAATTGCATTTGCACAAAAAGAATCGCTAATAAATTCACACGGAGGATGTCCCTAAAAATGTCTGCAAAATTTCGATTATATCTCGCGTTTCTCGATTATTCAGCCTCTCAGTTCGCTTCGTAAAATACGACGAAAGTGCATCCGTTCGAAAAGCTGTCGATTTAAAACGAACTAGCCGAGCATATTGTGTATTGACCCAAGCAAGCAAGAACATAGGGACCACTTCGAAAACCGGTCGGGTCACCGGTACGACCTTTTGTAAGACGAAAAAGGATAATCCAGCGAAGACAGTACTTCATTTAGTGACTCATCCAGCGGGATGATTTCCCTCCGACGATTCGTCAATCCTTCCATCTCGATCGCGACGGAACCGACGTCCTCACGATCGAGGATCGAGCCCTTGCCACTCCATGTTAAATAATCCTCCACGATTGGAGCACAGACACGTTCGTTGACGGGAAAATGCAATTTCCCAATTCAAACGCGATTGCACGAAATTATTGCTCCACGTTCCATGCAGGAAGGTCTTCTCCAAAAAATTTTACGTTACATTGCTAAACGATATTAATAAATTTTTAAACATACCCTCTGTCATATTACACGGTTTGAAAATTGTAAATAATTGAATTAATAATTATTTAATAATATTAATAATAAGAAAGTATTCACGAAGTGACGTAAACGTTTTGAACAATTTTGGAAGATGAAATATCGGAAGATTCGAAAGAAAATAATTTTGCATCTTTTTAAATGGTATCCAGTGAGTTCGCGGATTTAATTATCGATGAAATCGGTTATGGAATTGATCGAGAAGTTGGGTGTTGAGTTTAATTCGACGGGGGGTATTTGTTTGTTAATTAATTGGGAATTTTCGCACGGTTGCACGGCGAATTTTATTCTTCCCGTCGAAACTCGAGAAAATCGGTGTTCTAAATCGTGAAATGTCGGTATTGAAAAGCGAAAGTTTCGCTCGGTTCGGCCACGTACAACTTCGCGATCCGTCGGTCGTCGACAATCGGCAATCGAATGCGAATTGGCTATGAAACGTCAGCGAAATGTAAAATACGCCGTTAATAATCGTAATTTTTCCACATTGACAGCCAGTATCGTCGCGAATGTAAATTTTTCCACGAGGTCCTGCGTTAATATTTACAAAAGTCGTCACTTTTTCATCCGCCTCGTCGCTCTGCTTTTATCGGAATAAGCTTCGTGCATTAATATACATTGGAAATGTAAAACGACTGGTGAATTTCGGGGTCCAGTCCTTCCTTCGATCTCGAATCGTCTTAGAACCAGCTAAATTAGGAATTTCGATGATTCTGTCAACGAGAGACAAAATATAACGTAAGAATTTCGCGAAGACGTTTGGAATTTAGACAACGAATATTAATAATATTTTTCTCGAAAATTGTTGATTGGAGTTAAATACCAAATAGAATCTACTTGACAGTTGCTTCCAAGAGATTTAAGAATTTAATTAAAATTTTGTACCTTTTGAGCAGGATATTTTGATTTTATTTAAATGAAAGTTAAAATAAATATTGTAAATATTGCAAATTTGAATATAAATGGGAGACTCGTGACACGTTCCTTTGGATAGATTTAACGATTTAAATTTAACAATTTAAATGACTGAATTGCGTAATTAAAGTATTTCTTTGATTTTATTAAAGGTATAAATACGATTTCTATTATTTTGTTGCCAAGTACGAAGTTTGGTAATTCGAATACTCGGGGTAGCATAAAATACGTGACATAAAGGTATAATTTAAGCGAAGAAGTGACTGCTTTTACAGAAATACCACGGAGTTAATAAAAACGCAGATATCTCCGGCGCTTGACGTCGCTTCATTAAAAACGAAATTTACTTATCAGAAACGAGAATGATTTGGCGTGTCATACCGGTCTTGCAACTTCGTAAATCACTTAACAATTAGTAGCAACCTCCGATCTAACATAATCCAAACTCCGAAAATTAATAGCCAGGAAAGGATCACGACGGTAGTTCGATACATAGTACTAAAAAAGGATGCACGAAATTTGAATACGAACGATCCGTGGGAGACACAAATATACGTAGCTATATATACATATACAATTCTTATACCAAAAGCAATAAAAATTGGAGTCACAGAATTTTCATAAAATTTTCATGAAACATTCGAAACAGTAGAAAGTAGCACATTTTTAGATGTAATAGATACTCTAAATAAATGTACAATAATTTTTGATAAAATGGAAGATATAAAGATCAGAGACATTAAAATAATCTGAAGAAAAAAAATAATAAGAAATAAAGTCATACAATTTTTATAAAATATTCGAGACCATCGTATATAAATTAATAAGTGAAATAATTTAGGAAAATGTAGAAGAATTTTCCATAAGATAAAAATGACCAAGAATGGAGATATAAAATAAATCTGAAGAAACTATAAGGAAATATACGAAAAGTAATCAAAAGTAGAAATAGATAGAATTTTGTTTAAACATTTCTAAAATATTCGAAGCAGCTATATATAACAATCTTTGCATGAAATACTCCAAAAAATACGCACAATAATTTTCCATAAAGCACAAATTCCTAATAATACAGAAATCAAAAACATCTTACGAAGGTATACTTCAGAATCCTTTCACGAAAAAATAAACGCAACAAAAAGCCATAAAAATCGTGAAACTTTAATAAAATAATTCGAAATCGTTCTTTACAATTTTCACGCAAATTCCCCAAATTGCGAAGATACTCGGAAATTTTCGTCGAAAAGAGAAATTGTCAAAATCGTACACGTGTGAAAATATTTCGGACGCGAGGACGAAAAAGAGGGGGAAAATAAAATAAACAGGAATATGGAAAAATCGGGAAATGTGGACGATCGACGGAACAGGGGCCGTTTCCGCGCCTGACCTTTCCTCACAGTCTTGGCCTTGCGAAGTGGCGTCTTGTCACCTTCACCGTGCGATTCCATCGGGAAAAACGATGGCGGCGTGGAGGGAATCCGCGTAGATCCGCGAAGTTCGCGGCCCTCCCCCACCCGCTGGCCTGTCGTGGCACTTTGAAGATCAGTCTGACCCATAAATCAGTCTGAAATAATGCTGCCTCCGCATGGAACGTGCGAGCTAGCGAGCGCGCGCGCACGCGCGTACGAACGAGCGAGCGATAAAATAAATCTTCGATACTGGTGGATACTAATGGATACCTTGTATGTAACGGCGGTGGTCTTGTTTTCTGTTCTGTTGTAGATGTGGGTGGCGGTGAGCGGGAGCTCTGAACCTCCTGCACCTTGACACACACACAATGTACACGCAACAACAACAATATCAACAATATCAACAACATGATCAACAAAAAAAAAAAAATAATATTCAGACAACAAATTCAACAACAGTCTATAACAACAGCAAATTACAATCCACGTTCTTCTATTGTTTAACATTTATATATATATACATACATACATATACATATATATATATATATGCAGATATATATGTTATATATATATACATATATATATGTTATATATATACATATATATATATATTCTTCTCTTTTTTTCTACATTTTTTTTTTTTTATTACTTTTTTTATATTATCATATCTTCACTCGAAGTGTCACGCGATATGTCCCTGTCCCGATCACGTGGACATCGCACGATCATGGTCTCGTGCATCGCGTACCGCCACCACGAAGTAAGAAAGGCGAAAGAAAGGATAATAATACGCCCAGCATGCTATAAAGCTCTACTTCTACCGCTATCACCTTCTACGGTATCTTCCGCTGTCTCTGCTAAAGATCGACGATCTACGATCGCATTTATCGCCTTCTAATTCTACTGGTACTAACACGAGCGCGCACGATACAACCCCTCCTCTCGCTAATCGCGAAGCGGTGTGGAGTTTGATTGCTAGATAGGAGGAGAAAGAAAGTGGGAGAGAGAGAGAGTGAGAGAGGGAGAGGAAGCAGGACAGTTTCCTTGAAGTGTACTTTCCTCATCTTCCGATTTCGACCATCTTTGTTCCAGGAGCATACACTCTGTTCCCTACAAGGGCTCCAACGGCTACTCAAATGGCTATTCGAATGGCTACTCTAGGTACTAGAAGCCATCCGGCCAACTAATATCCCGATCTTCCCTCTAGACGCGAGTTTCTCTGTTTCTGATTAGGCTAGTTTCTTTGCCGCGCGGCTCGCGTTCAACGAGTTTTTGGAATTTCGACGGCAACCCTTCTCCTGTACGTATGCACATATATGCGCACATATGCACGCACATGCAGTGCTTTGTAACGGCGTTGCAGATGAAGCTTAGACGGATGTATCCCTGGTGACACGCAATTACAACATTTTAAGTCTCTCGAATTCTCTTTTCCATCCATTTCCTTTCGAGTCACTGCTCTTTCAACGTCTTTCAGGCTGCTAGGCACAGGTTAGAGTCAAACGATGAGGTCTTGCGTAAATGTTCTCTTTATGATAGATTTTGTGAAGGAATGGACCAATTTTGAAGTATCAGAGGAAGACTGCTTAAGAAATGGCACCTTTAAATCCTTTTTCTAATTGTGGAAATGTTCCCTTTCGATTGCTGCAAGCATTGTTGGATTTGTTACTTAGGTTAAACGAGAATGATGGCACATCTGACAACAGTTTCTTTACAGATATTAGAGATACTAGAGTTTCTACATCAACGAGTCTGACTTTGACCGTACTAAAAGAGGATAGTTACTGACAAGAGTCAATCGATCAGTTAGACATCAGTTAGATCAGTTAGATCAGTTAGACACCCAGGAAAGATTGCACTTGAGCGAATTTAGAAATTACTTTAGAAACAAAACGAGAGCAATATTTGCATTAGACAGTGACTAGAGAATCAGTTATTTAAACAGAATAGCCTCGATCTGCTGTAAGAAGTAATACGACAAAAGGAAGACCGAAAGGAATCGTGTAGTCTGTCAATCAGCTAGCTAGCTAGAGCTAACTGGAAGACAGGGAAAGCTAGAGGTGCAGCGATGAGAAATAAAGATCTACGTCGAAATTCCGAGAACTTTTTGACCAGACCACGCGTCCATTCTTCTCGATGTCCGTCTGTCGGTACTCCGAGTGGATAATTAATCAGCTTCGAAAAGACGTAGCACGTCAGCCTACCGAGTCGCAAGGGAAACAGTTCCGTGGATACTGATCGTCTCCTCGCCTATTTTAAACCTCGCTTCTCGCTCCTCCGTTCCGCTTCTACGATTATTATTTTTTTTTTTTTTCGCTTCTGCCACTTTCCTGTATTCCGAGCCTAGACACCTAGACGTCAGCCACAGCAAGTCGTCGAGACTTCTCGTCGCGACAAAGACAGCGAGAGACAGAAACAAACAAGGAAGAATCACGTCAATGGTGCAACCATGTCAGAATTAGTCGCCACGAGGCTTCACGAGGATTTCGTGAGCAGTCAGATCAGTTGGATAGCTGTATACGATATCCGAGACGAGCTGCAGGCAACGATAACGAAGATGCACGTTTCGCCTAGGGATAGGCAGACCTCGATGGTCCTTGGGAATTACCTCGAGCATTCCTCGATTGAAATTCCTCGACAGTTTGGAGGAACGTTGAAGATAACAAACGAAATCGTTGCACTTCGGCGTGTTTAATGAGTTGCCGACGTGAAGAATGGCCAGGAGTTGCATAAGATCGTGGAAAGGCAGACAGAGAGATCTAGCCTCGTTATCAGCGACACGTTCGAAGACACCAAGTACCCAACCAGTTCTCGTTATCTCGAAAAATCTACTCGGCCATGGTTCCTGCTTTCTCCTCAGCCGGCTGTAACAACTTAATCATGGAAAGCAGAGTCCACGTAATTCAGCTCGAGCATCCATGGGAATAAGGCAACGGAGCCAAGGTCGGAGGAAGAGGATCACACGCTTTTGTCTGTAATGTCAATCCAAACCACCCACGAAGATTCCTTCGAATTAATCTGCAACTTTCCGAAAACTCTCAAATGATCCGATCCAAACTCGATCTTTTGGATTGGACACCTGGATCGTCAGTGATACTTGGAGACAAACAATAAGAGACAAAATATACCTCGAGTTTGAAAATTCCTCAGACAACTAATACAAACTCTACCGTCAAAATTGAACACCTCGAACTCAAATTACTCTTTGAGACAAGGAATCAGGAGGATCATGTATGCAAGTAGACTCAAATTGTGTTCTCATAAACGAAGACATGTCTTATAGTCAATCAGAACACTGAAGAATCGAAATTTCGGAAGACTCTCAGAGCAATTAATTCAAATTTAATCCTCGACACACGGAGACACCCAGAAAAATAAATTCAAGTATGTCTTCGAGGCAAGGGACCAAGAAGACCATGTATCCAAGAATTCTATAAGAAAGCAGAGTGTCTTTGAAAAATAAATTGCACTTGGATAGAAAGGACGAAGAAGACGGTAATTAAAGCAGTTTGAATGCACGTTCAAATCTCAAATCCACGAGGAGATCGCATAAATCCTGGGAGAAACTCGATTTCAATATCAAAGGAGTCCCAGGAGCGGCGATTGGGTTTCACGTGGGCCCGGAAGCGGCTAATTTGAATTCGAAGATCCGGTAGTTTGACGAGCGGCGGCAGTGAAGCCGAGAAAGGATGAAGGAACCGTGTCAACGGTGTTACGCGAGGACCCGGGGCTAGAGTCCCAAATTGGGCCGCGTAATAACCCGCTTCAAAGATGCTGCTGAGGACCGGATGCTACCGTGGGACCACGCCCAGGCCCGGAGCGACGCGGCGTTGGCCCGGCGTCTGGAAAGGATGAGAGCAGTCTCGAGGGCTCGATTCGACACGATCCGACTCGGATGGAAGCCTCGGATGGTCCCGCTGTTCACCGTAGGCGAACCGAAATCGCAAGATCTAGCCAGAACGCGGCCAGACGACCTTGGAAATGTGAAACAAGGCGGGTCCGCTGACGCAGATACCAGTCAGCTGGGATCGGTTTCCAGTGGATGAACCGTCTACTCTGCACGTGTCTCTCCGATTTCGCGCGGACACGCCAGCCTCGATCGCTCGATCAGAACGGCATGATCGATCGGTATCGCGCGTTTCCCAGACCGCCCAGCGGTCGTGTCGTTTCTGTCGTCCACGCGACCTTCCTCGTGGCTTCGACTGGACACCGGCGTTGGGAAAGCGTCCTCGACGAGCTCAGCCTCCAAGATGGCCACGTCGCCACGACGGACACCTTCCAGTTCGACATCGAGCTCCTTGGTAATTTTTCCATCTTTTTCTTACTCTTTGGTTCTCTTGTCTCGTCGACTGCTCAGTTTCGGGGCCATTTCTTCGGTGTCAGTCCTATGGAAGTTCTTCCTTCGTGCTTCGAGGTTTGTAAATGTATTGCTCACAGTTCATGGACCATTTACCAATTTTCTTTTTCAATTTCTTGTTAAATATATGCTATCAATGCTATGGAAGTTCTTCCTTCGTGCTTCGAGGTTTGTAAATGTATTGCTCACAATTCTTGGACCATTTTCGAATTTTCTTTTTCAATTTTCTGTTAAATATATGCTATCAGTTCTATGGAAGTTCTTCCTTCGTGCTTCGAGGTTTGTAAATGTATTGCTCACAGTTCATGGACGATTTTCGAATTTTCTTTTTCAATTTCTTGTTAAATGCTATTTTATTTTATTCCTGGGAATTGAAGTTCAGGTACTGTGGTTCTTTCAGGCACTATTATGTTGGATAATTTTGTAGTATTTTTAACGAATATTGGTTTTTCAATAATTTTGGAATTATTATTACGTGAGAGTAATATTTGATTCATGCAATCTACTGGCTTTTTAAAAATTTTGTTCGGTTGGTCCTAGAATGCAAGTTTGGGAAGTTGTTCCAGAAAATTTTCCAATTATTTTGAGCAGTGCATAAGCACATAGCAGTACATACGTTTAAGGATTTGTAAATGCTTTGCTTATAATGGTTAGAGAGAATATGTGGCATTTCGTTAGTATTTTAAAATAAATTCCAGTAACTCCATCAAACATCTGCATTCACTATGCGAAGTTGTCAAAACAAATTTTCGAATTACTACAGAACGCAGTAATACTTAATCAACATAGATTATCAAACACATTATTGAAATTTTTTAAACAAATTTATGAAGCCATTCCAAAATCCTCTCGAACCAATTTTGAGTAATGCATAACTGAGGTATATACGTTTATTACAAAAATCCGACAATACTAATCAGTACTCGAGAACGATATTTGCAATCCGGAAACTCCTGTACAGCAATCGCCTTACAATTACTCACTGTACAGTTCCCAGCGAGAGTGAGCACCTAATCTGCTCGCCATACTCGAAACGATTATTTTTCTCCGAAATAAATACGCATAGCAATCCATAGCAAAACCAAAATTTAATTTAAAATAAAATTAAAATGATCAATTTAATTCAAAATCGGACTCTCAGTCGACTCGACGCCACGATTTCTCTTCAGGGCCGTATCCTCGCGATGGAGGAATTGCTAATGGTCGTAAATCGGACATGGTGAACATGCAGGGACGCTTAGACGTCGGCGTGAATCGCTTAGGCGTGAATTCGGACGAAAAATAATCGTTTCGAACGACTGCGACTTTCGTAAGCTGCGACGTCTCGAGGGTGCTCGAGATCGATCGATCGATCAGCTGTTCGCGAGCTTCGAAATTCGCGGGCGAGGGTGACGGGGAACGACAAAGCGACTCGATCCGTTGAAAACACGAGGGTGGAAAACAGGGGAGAAATAGGGGAAGAAAATGGCGGGATTCGTGGAATTGCCGCGCCAGGTGGACTTGTCCGCGGCAAGCCGGAAGTTAGGGAAGGAAGGAAGCAAAGGAAGTTGGAAGAAAGGGAAAAGAGAGTCGCGCTTTGTACATAGCTTGAGAAATTGACCCATTATCGCTGCGTCTTCTAATATTACATCGTATCGCGGTGAGGCCGCGGTTCTCGCGAACGTATTACTATTATAATTATTATAATTATTCTTAATAATATTATTATAATTATTAATTATTCTGGACGAACGTTATGGAACAGAAAAATTGGAAAAAAATATGGAATAGTCGTTAGTCAGTGTGCATCGTAGCCATCGATAGGCCTCTCGATCCCCGTAGAGCTGTATCACCGATCTTTACCGATTAATAGAAGTGATAATAATGTTATTATTATTATTATATTATATAATATTTTATTATATATTATTATTATGTTATACGTTATATTATAATTATTCTAATTATATATATATATAATTATATATATAATTATATATATATATATCGTGAAACTGTATCTATATCCATGCCTGTATCGCTAGCTTTACAAAAATGAACCGGGGCGCACGGTCAGCCCGGTGACAATGTGGTAAGACAGAGAGCGTGAACGAATGAGAGAAAGAGTGAGAGACAGAGAGAACGAGCGAAAGAGAGAGAGAGAAAGAGAGAGAGAGAGAGAGATGAGTCTGTTGCTTTTCTCTCGAAGAGAGA